GAGGGGTCACGGGGGAAAGTCTGCAGCTGCACAGACAAGAGGAAAAATAAAAAAAATGATTATACTGTAGGAACGGTATGACAGAAAATTTTTGTGGTTTTGAAACTGACTTTTTCATATCACGGTATACCGTGAAACCGGCCCATGCCTAGCACAAACACACTTTTATCTTTTTTGACACCATAAAAAACGACCAGACCACTGACGGCCCTGCTTCAGTTATTCGTGGCTGTGCAGCATCACTATCATGATCAAACAGAAACACAAGCAGCAACAAGTGGGAAGGTAACTTCAGTTTTACTTATCAGACCGATACAGATATGCCAGTAAATAACCAACATTGGCCGATATTGATGTTAATGCCGATATATTGTGCATCCTTAATCTTTAGTAATGCAAAACACCAAAATATGTAATCACGTGGCAATAATTCCAGTAATTGAAAAGTGGCAAATGTTAATTGTTGACGGTTTTTCTGCTGAGTAATGGCGCACAATACGATTTTGCCCAACCCTAGTATCAAGTTGGGTTTTTTTTTGTACCAAACTACATTTTCTTGGTCGTCCTGTAGATGTGCTCAGTCCCTGACTTGGGAGTTGACATGGGCAGCTGGACAGATGAGACATGGAGTCTGTGTGCAGCAGGAAATCTGCCCTGGACATCATGGCTCAGCACACTGACAGCTGGTGCACTCATGTTCCGCGTGTTTTGTTTGTGTATTGTTTTGTGTTTGTGTGTATGTGTGTGTTTGTTTGTGTGTGTGTTCAGCTGAATTGACTCTGAAGAAGCAGCTGCAGCCAAATATGAGTTCAAAACCTCGTGTTTTTCTTTCTAAAAACTCCGTTTCTTTTTTATGTACTGTAAATGTTTACAGCTGTTTAGGAGGTTGCTTCCTGTTTGGTGTGAATCAAGATTTATCTCCAAGCGAATTGAGATCATGATTCTGTAAAATTCTTCTAACAGGAAAAAAAGGCACTAAAGTTAAAAAGGTTAGGATTTCAGGGAGGACTACAATCTTGTGTTTGTTTCCTGAGGAGAAACTTATTGTGTGGATGCTGACATTACTTGTATTCCTTCAGTCAGAACAAGTAGATATTTTCTTCGAGTTTCTTGTGAATGAAAAGTCTTAGTTCATAACATTACAAGAAACATCAAATTGAGCTGCATCTTTGTACTTTTATTGCTTATTGAAACTGTTACCTTGTGTTGCTGTGAGCATGTTATGATGCTAAAGCACTGCTGACAGATGGTCACACACTGTGCATCATCATTAAAGAGTAATCCCATAAGAGAAATCACACTATTTATTCATTTGCTTACTAATTTGATTAAAGTATCTATACATTTGACTGAGTTAAACCCATTTATAAGTCTGCTAATGCTGATTAACATCTTGAATTAGGTTTAAGATTAAACAGTTGTATGTATGCATCCTATGATTCCTTTTTTAGAGATTAATTAAATTTGCTTGGTGAGATATTTTGCTAACAGATAATAATGACTGACAATTAGGCTTGGGCAGTATGATGGTATTGCAGTATACCTCCATAATGAAATATGGTGACAGTATTTAAAAATTATGACTGTATATTAACCTAGTCACATGACCTATTTAAATCATTGTAGGCAGAGTCTACACTGAGGCTTTTCAATTTGTGTAGAGACTCAAAACTATACACCAGTTAGTAATTTAGATTGATTGTTAAAATAAAACCAAACTTATGATAAATAGTATACACCACTTTTTTTTCCTGAATATGACTGTCCTATTTGACACGCGTTGCTGTGGCAGGAAACACTAGTCTCATGGTACAAACAACTCAGTCTGCCGTCAGTCTCATGCTTCTCCCAAGCTGATAAAACATAAACCCTCCGCCCTCCTTTCTGTCTGAGGCACAAAGTTTTCTGACAAGTGCCCAAAAATCTACAGGAAGAAGAAYCTAAAAAGATGCAAAAGTTAAATGAAGTTTGGCGGCGATGGAGAGGGTGAGAACAGGAGGCGCAGCATGCCACATCCCACGCCTTTCCGCCCTGCCCCTGTAATACCCTTTACCATGGTATTATCTAAAGATAATGTTGGTATGAAAAGGATCGATTCTGCCCAGCCTTACTAACAATTCATTTTAAGCAAAGTGTGTTTCACCTACGGGTTGTGAATGYCTCTCAACTCAAATCAAACCTTAGCTCAGTCTATAGAAAACTGACTGAAGGACAGTCAGCTTTGTAATTCCTGATACATTTAACCAAGGTGGCCATCTTTGAAAATGTATGAATAAATTCACCAGTACACCTCCAGATTACTTTTTCAAATTTCTGCTAAAATCCATTCAATGGTTAATGAGATGTTTTGCTAAAAACATGTCAAAAACACAGACAAAACATCCTTTCATCTTTAGCAAGTTGTGATCATAAACATGCAAGAAATCAGCATTTTTTAGAAATAAGATTGCTTGTATGTCAGAATTGAGATCACATTTTCCCCCCTGAATATTTGTGGGACCATACTTTGATGTTGCACCAAGTAAATAACTTTTACTGGCTGCACCATTAACCAATGAGATTTTTGGCTTCTAGTGTTTTCTGTTTGTGTGTGTAAACAGTCTAGCAATGACCTCAGATGCTTTTGACTATTAATCACAGCCTTAGTTGATCACACTCAGAAGAACGTGCCACAGCACCTATAGTGCTACTGTAAGCCTATTTGATTTGTGCATTGACCCACAAGAAGTCTGCTAAGTGGCTTATACTTCCTATGTGCGTTTGTGTGCTTGTGTGCGTGCARGCACATCGACTTTGAAGTATGTTGTGTCATGACAATAATCTAAACCAATTTAGTAGCCATCAGCCTTTCATTATGGGTTTGACATGGAGTAGTGCGTGACTGGAATGCCCCGCCGTAAAAAAATGATAATTTACTTCTTCAAAGAAATTACGCATTTAACCTCATTAACCTAAAGAACATGTGCTAAAATGGAAAGCGTATAACCCCGGTCTCATTTGAAGCACACAGCTCCGCACCCACACACAAATACAAATTGGAAACATCATCAAAAGTTGGGAGTTCATCCTGAGTGTGACCCCGGCGGATGAGAGACGCAGCGGAGAGTTAACGACATCAAGCCATTCTCGCAACTTGTCAGGCTCCTCGCGCGGGCTTTGGCTCGCGTCCCCGCTTGAACATCATCTGTCTTTTAAGAGATGATTAACCTGGCAGGTGTGAGGCGGGTCTCACCCACAGTTTTAGTGAGCTGTCGTCTTTAGTCTGCGGGGAGTACGAGGAGGGGGGGTCAGCACAAACGGCTAATGGCCACGGTCACAAAGCTGGAAGCCAGCCTATTAAATGAAGCCGCCATCATTAGGGCCAACACGTTTTCAAACAACCTGACCTACTGCTCCTCTGCTGTTTATTAGCAAAGTTTTGGCTCCGCTTTAGTGCAATTATAGCCACTGTTCACAATGAACCCTGGCCTTTTCCCTGACACTGTGAGATGGGAAACACTTGCATACATAGTAAATAATGTCAGTCAGTTGTGTCTGTCCTGCATAGAGAGCTGACATGTTTATCTGTGTGTGCAATAATAAAAAGTGCGTGGAAAAAATAGGGGTGGGGGTGTGGGAAAGTGTCAGGAAGTGATGTATGCCGTTCATTGGACACAGAACATTTAGTTTTCATTAAGAGTTAAACACGTACACGAGACATTAATGGGGTTCAGCAGCAGCGTCCTGCCTCACTGTATCTCATCCTGATGAATTAGCAACTCAGCACAAGGGTGACAGACAAAAAAAKCCGAAGGCACTTATGTAGTATCAGATAATGTCTTTATTTAAATATCGCTATTTATGACACAGCCTAATTTTATCCTCAACCTGGGCTTCAATCAACTACAATAATATAATACAAAAGGCTGTGTGGGGGGAGGGGAGGTTAGGCAAAGAGAAAGGTCAGTACGAATGTTGCCATTTCATTACGGGAGACTCCTTTTCCTCTCCTGCTGCACAGGGAGTGATGAAGAAGGTTGTTAATGTCTGGTCTGTCAGCCATATTGGATTCAGGGCAGTAAATTAATATTACACTCCTTTTAAAGGGGTTTTATTTTGGGATTTACTGATCTCCCCTGAGTGTCTGCTGTGTAAAGAGGTTATTTCCCTCTTTCTGCTTGGCGCTACATCCTCTCACTATCTCTCATACGAGCTTAATATGTTTAGAGAAAGAGAAACTGTGTTCATGGAGGAAGGATGTGTGCGCTGCAGGCAATTTGGTGTCATCCAGTGTTTGTTTAGCACATTTTTCAGGCAGCACAGAAAGCCTGCTGTAATTTATAGCAAATCGTCCAGACAAAGACAGCTTCTCCTATATCCCCGCGCAAACAAAACAGTAGATCGCCTCTATTTTTCCTCCACGCGTCCTGTTTGTCAAACAGGATTCTTAAGTAATTAAAAACATCTGGAGTTTATAGGGAGCGATTTTGAGGCAACGGGCTGTTTTTATCCATCGGTTATCTTTAGCCTCCGCACCTTTTTGCTTAGGCGTGCATAATGTAGAGGGGGTTAGAGTCCTTACTGAAGAGCAGTATAACACAGTGTGAAGTGGTCTAGTCYCTGAGGATTTATGGCTGCTGGTCCATCAGCGGTGATGTTAAAAGGGCTGTGATTAAGAGCTGGACTCTGCTGGCCTCTTCGACCCTGCCAGAAGCACACAAGGCCCAGCTCTGTCACGGCTAACGCTGCACCATACAGATTTGTCTTTCTGCTGTCTGTCTGTCTTCTTGCTTTGTTCCACTCTTGGGTGTTTGAGCTAAAATTTACCGAAGACGTCGCATCTGTGCATTTGATCTTTGTTGTATTTTTTTGCTTACAAGTAACAACAGCGAAGCAGGAAATAGGCTCTGCTTCTTGCCTTAGTGACAACTTCAAAAGCCTCCAAAGCTTTCTCATTTTTTTTTTGGCATCCCTTTCAAATCACTCCTCAGTGTTTCTTTTTGTTTGTGTTATTCTCTCAGGTTCAGAGCACGCTGCCACTGCAGCACTACCCGCTGCGTTCTCAGACCTGTTACCTCACTTCCTGGTGGAGCCAGAGGACGAGTACATCGTGAAGAACAAGCCGGTGACTCTGACCTGCCGCTCGACCCCGGCCACACAGATTTACTTCAAATGCAACGGCGAGTGGGTTCACCAAGACGACCACTTGATTGAGCGAACTGTAGACCCGGCCACAGGTACACTAAACAAGTCCTGTCATTAAAAATCCAACTTTGGTAATGCATTTGCAAGTGGTCAACCCTGATTGAGTGTGTTCATACCTGGTTGGTTTATATGTACCCTGAACAACATGTGCTATGAGCAGATACACACACCCAGCCATGTCACAGAGCGAGCTGTCAGATCAATGTGACAACAAGTCTGCTGCTGTTTCTGTAAAAAGGTTTTCAGTTATTTTAAGTATTGTTTATATAGCAAGGTTCAGAGCCGTTTGATGTATATTGTTGAAGTTACCTCGTAGATTATCTACCTAATGCTGTATCAGAGATTTTATCCCATAAAACTTCACAGTGCATTGACAACTGTCAGCTGTTTTATTTATTTTTGCCCAGCTCCACTGTGTTTAAATAGAAAAAGTGACATAACACCTCTCGGATTGTTGTTCTGTGATTGACACGGTGCATTATAGCTCACAGTGACCGCAGCAGGCCCAATCACCTCTAAGAAGAAAAAAGAAAGCAAAAAATTAAACAGTAGAAACTCACCACACTAGATCCTGCAATCCAGTCTGGTAGATTAAATCACTGAAGGATTGCGATTAACCTGATTTTAAAAAAAAACCTTTGCTGCTTTTGTGGAGTCATGAGTTTAGTAGGAGGTCCTAAAATTTTGCCCTAGTATTAATAGAATTCAGTCTGATAAACATGTGGATATAAGTGGCTGATAAATAGATAAAGCCAGTGATAAATAGTCAGATCAAAACAATTAATTCTGTGGAAGACAGCTCCTAGAGTTCAATAACACTGTTCTGTATAARTCCATGGACAGACTCGAAACAACTGTTTGACTTTTTGAAACTTACTTTCAGAATTAAATTGTCATGTTTTGTTTGTATAACGTGAGTATGCATAGCCATAAATAATTTGTTTTGACAGCATATATGTACAAATTACCTATATACACTTTATTGCCAAAAGTATTTGCTCACCCATCCAAATGACTGTACACCAGTMCACAAAGCAAGGTCTATAAAAACATGGATGGCAGAGTCTGGTGTGGATGAACTTGACTGGCCTGCACAGAGTCCTGACCTCAACCCGATAGAACACCTTTGGGATGAATTAGAGAAGAGACTGAGAGCCCGGCCTTCTGTCCAACATCAGTATGCAACCTCACAAATGMGCTTCTAGAAGAATGATCAAAAATTCCCATAAACACTCCTAAACCTTGTAGACAGCCTTCCCAGAAGAGTTGAAGCTGTTCTAGCTGCAAAGGATGGACCAACGTCATATTGAACCCTATGGATTAGAAATAGGATGTCACTGAAGCTCATATGTGAGTCAAGGCGGTGAGCGAATACGTTTGGCAATATAGTCTATTTGTCAATATAGCTAGGATTTTAACAAAATGTAGTCTACCTTTGGTGAATTATTTTGAAAATACGGATATTTTGCTCGTTCATTTTCCCATTGGTGCATTGTGATTGTTGTAGATTGACTCTGGACTTGATCAGACGTCTGGTAAAAATAGAACCAAGTTAAATTTTAGTTGATGGCTGTGCACATGCCGCCGCCCTGCGGAGGCAGTGTAAATGCTCTCATTAATTGGTGAGTTTTTACTGTGGCATTCGTGCCACAAAGGAGCAGAGGCAGTCTAAAAGGGAGTAGGATCATCTCTAAAGGTGTTGGTCTGAAACACCTCCAAAGGTGGCAGAAAGGTTTTCAATGCACAGTGATGTCATTCATATCTGTATTTAGCACTATCTGAATGCAATCCAATTGCTAAAAGACACATTAAAGAACCTGGTCTGAACAGGACCTTCGTTAATTAATTTCAGTTGAGGACTTTCTTTTAACCAGAGATGCATTCGCCAGTATCTGAACGTTGTCGGCTGCAGATGTACACCTTGTCAGACGCATTATGTAAAGTGTTTGTGTGCTGAAACTAAGGTCTGCAAATTACCGATGATTACTGTGCTCCATCAGACTCCCGGCTCATCCTCCAGCCTTATTTAGTCCGCCTCTCTCATAATAAGCACATTGGTTTCAGACGCAGAAATCTTCTCGATCACCTTGGAGACCTGTTTGTTTTTGCCTTTCTGTTGAGCAGCACACCATCACCCCGCTCGCCAACCCTCTACGCCTTCTCCATCAGTGTCATAAACATGTATGACACTGATGTGGTGTGATTCAGAAGCGATCTGCAAATTCAGAACCACCCATTCACAGCCTGACAAGCTATCGGGGATGAGAAATGTGGAAATGACAGTTTTTTTTTCTTTTTTTCTGGGACAGCAGGAACTCACATTCACAAACGTGCACACGGATTTTCAGATAGATAACATGTTTTAAAATAGAATAACAGCTGATATCTGTGCAAAAAAAAGGAAACAGAAAGAAATTACCTTCTGTACAAACACATTTATACGCTCAAAGCAGGAGAATATTAAAATTCAGTTCAGCCTTTTCTTTCCTTCAAAAGTTTGAAATTCATCTATTTTTCAATACACTCTAGTTAGTGTCACTGCTTCATGTTGTCGGTGGGTGAAAGCGGAACTGAAAATATGTTGCATCTCGTTAATAGCTCCTCATGTCATGCCCAAAAACCTCCCTATCTCTCAGTATTCAATTGTATTTGTTTTATCTTCTATAGGAGGCAGAGTTTTGGATGRGAGTTGTTTTGGAGTCAGGCTCCCTTTTAACAGTGACAACAAGAAGAGTACTTGACAATGTTTGTGTTTGGAAAATATATATCTAGCACAACAATAAAAAAATTATGTTAGAGGGAATTATCAATGAGTCACACTCTGAAGTGGTAAAAGTGGATCTTTTTTCTGACCGAGTCAATTCAAAAATGTTAGAAAGCAGATTTAAAGTAGTAGAACAACACAGTAAAAGATGTAAAAGATAAAAGTATACTTTCCCTTATTATAAATAGTGCACATGTTCTGCCACATGCACCTTGTAGCACACTTTCTGAGCAGCTTATGATGTGCAGGACAAAACAAAAGTGTGGCGCTGGTGGCAAAAAAAGGAGAGACAATTAATTAAAATAAAGTGCAAGTGAAATTGAAATTSAAAATAATTAAAGCCCTCTAGGAACTTTAAAGTGACTTCTCGAAGTTTAAAAACACCAGCTGAGCTCCAGATACAGTGGGGAGAACAAGTATTTGATACACTGTTGATTTTTCAGGTTTTCCCACTTGCAAAGCTTGTAGAACTGTAATTTTTATCATAGGTACTCTTCAACTGTGAGTGATGGAATCTAAAACAAAGATCCAGAAAAATACAATGTATGATTTTTAAATGATTAATTTCCATTTTATTGTGTGAAATAAGTATTTGATACACCAGAAAAATGAAACTTCATATTTGGTACAGAA